CGAGCGGTTCGAGGTTGACTATGCGTTCTTGTACATTTTTAGAAGAAAATTTTATTTTTTAAACTTTGATTTACTTAATCAATATTAAACTGCTACAAATTATAGATTTAGAACCGTTTCCGTTTTGTCACAAAATGGAAAAAAAACCATTTTTTTAATTGATTTTTTTTCAATAAAGGTTGAGTAAAACTTTAGCGATGTTAGAAGATTTAATAAATTCGTGTTTAAGTTTATATTTAAGCTTTATATCTAATTGTTATTTATTTAAATACAAGCGTTACTATTTCATGTAAACTTGTTTCTGTTCCGCAAAAATTTGCCTTTGCGATTTTTACATAAAAAAAAAATAAAATATTTGTAATAACTGTATATTTACCTAAATGTATATATATATATATATATATATATATATATACACAATTCACAACTCTCAAATAATATATCAAATTTATAATCACCATTCACTGCTATTCAAAATCTATTTTGAAAATGACTCTTATACTCAAGATTAATTTAATAACGAATTATGGTTCTCCAGCGAACTTTCATATTGATACCAGGGGGCCTACCATAACCTTTCCAAAAACAATCCTATTTCACGAACCTGTCAACCATGTAATGTATTATTGCAAAAGTGATTGAAAGAACGAATGATTTCCCAATATTGTCTATTCCTTACTAAAAATAGGAAAGAGATAACGCTATGTGAACTATATAATGCCATCTCTTTCTTTTTTGATGGTCTGAATCCTCTTATCATAGTATAATGCTTAATGTACTTAATGTTATTTATGTTCAGAGAATTTTGACTGTTAAGAAAAGAAAGGTATGTAATAGTAAAATCTATTAAAATTACGTTGTTTTCAATAATTATTCCCCATTTGCATGAAGAAAAATATAAAAAACAATCTGAGTCTTGATAGTCACGTTGTGAGATCGGAACTACAGTCTAGTGTCAACTGTTAGTTTCGCCAAGAAAACATATAGATGGCGCTGTTATAATTTTACGAAATAAACAAAATATTGAAGAGAGGGAGATATATGTAAATAAATAAGTTCAACTTAACTTTTAATCATCACAAATCAATATTAAGTCAATAAAACTAAAAATAATATTGTTTCCATTGCATCCATGTATCTATTTTAAAAATGTTAAATTTGACATAAGAGCAATATTACTTTAATGTTAAAGTCGCGTCATAGTACGAACTGAGTGAATGAATAGCCACAAAGTTGCCAATAAAACATCATAGGTTAAAATAATTTCCCCTTATTATAAAATTAGGCGCTATTCATAAAAATGAAGCTTCATGCTTGCATGAACAGCCGGGTGACTGATTTTCTTAGAGCTGGATGATTTTCTTCAAAATTAAATTGGGATCACTATGGAGGTACCCCCTTTCCAACAAAAAAATAATCATGTAAATCGGTTCACAAATACCGGAGTTATCGCGTAACATACATGCAAAAAAACATACAGTTGAATTGAGAACCTCTTCCTTTTTTTGAAGTCGGGTAAAAATGAAAACGCACGTTTCTAAAATAAGCAAAATGTTCGCGTCTTGGACCTACTTTTGTGACCTCATAGACGCTATAAATGATTTTAACGATAATACATAATATAAAAGTCAAACAGTATTAATAATTGCAATTTAACTGGTCTTGATATTTTTGACGTCAATGTAAACATATAGGTAAATTACGTGTCCTTATTGCTTAACTTACAGAGTACTAAAAAAACCCATCTCAAAAGTTCGTGGAATTGCATCTACTGTAATACCCCGCTTTGAGCGAAACCGGTTGCGCAACTTTTCAAAATTTGCGCTAAATTACCCCGCTTTACGCGGACGCATTGATTTAAACAATTTGAGCCCGTAGCTTCTCAGTTACTAAAAATGAATTTTCGGAGGTAGTTCTGTCCCTTAATTTGTAATCTCATTAATACTGTCTGTTATTCAGTGAATTGTAGAAATAATATTTTTTACGTGCAATAACGCCACCGGCTAAGAAAAAAGAGCGTAAGGGCTTGAATTTGGAGACGAAGATAAAAGTTTTGGAAAAGGTAGGTTCGTTCGAATAGCACGTTCGTTAGAATATTTAGCTTTTTATTCGATTATACTCCGTTCTATCCCTGGTAGCAGTCGTTCGGTGAAGTTAGAGATCCCAGGGCGACCGAAAAACTATAGCACCAGGCGGGCCACACAAAAATATAACAACCCTGTTTTACGCGAATTTCGCTTAACGTGATTTTTTCCGGAAAGCATCTCTCGCGTAAAGCGGGGTGTTAATGTATTTGCTAAGGTTTATCGTTTGAAATCGGTTACCGAAAAGTGCGCGAAACCAGATTCATCCCCTAGTTTGCCACACTTAGGGATGCAATATTTTCTTCAAATTTAAATGGGACCGGTACAGAGATACTCTCTTTCAAAGTCTCTTTCAAAAAAAGACTTTTCATTAATATCATTTTACGAATTGTAAAACTAAAAGTAGTAGTAGTAGTTGTGTAATAAAAAATACAGTCGAATTGAGAACCTCTTCCTTTTTTTGAAGTCGGTTAAAAATTATTTTCATATCGAGTTTATAGATTTTCGCAATTGTTGCACATTTATGTGGTCTGTGGTTACACATAGGAAATTAAACTACTTTTTCGAATCTAAATAATACCTAAAATAATCAGCCGTAACTACGAGACATGTAATGAGCCCTTACGTTGATTTGAAAACAATATTCTTTAAATGAAATTTTGGTTTCAAAACAAATTTGCGCGAATTAGACTTACGTCATTTTATATCTTCGTAATTACAAAATGTTTTATTAATACTGTCATACTTGCGTCAATTCACTAAATTAATGTTCTTCCTGTCTAAGGACAGCAAGAAGACTCCAGAGCGTGGGATAAGTCCCACGCCGGGAGGTCGACATAACATTATCAATTAACTAAATAAATAAATATTAGACAACAACACGTACGTTGCTCCGATTTGAAAGTTACTTAAAGCACTTGTGTTAAATCGGAAACTTCGACGGTACCATAAATACCCAGACTCGAGATAATATACAAAAGTTAGTTTCTACATTGAACCGCCCGGAAATCGAACCCGGGATCACTGAATAGCGACGTCATGAAAACCGGTGTGCCAGCCACTCGACGACGAGGTCGTTATTACTAGATAACTATTTATTAATTATTTTAATTATATTGCAGTACCTTGAATTAATAATTTGGAATTATTATTGTTTTACATTTCATTTTTATGGTTTTTAAATGTGAATTGAGTGTGTGCCTTACTAAATATTGGTTTTGTTTTCTTAAATTTATTTGTGTATAGTCTGATGGCAATGGATAATCATAATGCGGGTTGGGATTTAATAATATTTATAATACGATATAATATATATATATGTATGCATATACGATATATACATATATATATTATATGTATATATCGCTGCATGAAACACAAATTATAAGAACTTGTCTGCGAATGATACCCGTGGACAGCTGAATGGTCGTATTATTATAATTACAGTTTTCTATCATGAATAGGGATGAATTCAAATCTGATATTGGGGCAACTAGGTCAAACGAGGCATTATATCATATGAAAAGGCTTGTTATATTACATATAAATGGGAAACCTAAAATTAATAGTGCTGGTATAAATTGTTATGGTTCGAAGTTTAAACCGTCACGCGTCCTAGAAACACGGTGTCTCGAACCATTTTATATATTTTTTTAATTTTATATATTTTAGTAACTTTTTTGACCGTTGTGGTGGATGACATTACAGTTTCGCGATAGAGACACCGCGTGGGTCAAGGACGCTACAGCACCAAAATTATTAGAGACACCTGGACGCCTTGTGTTATAAAAATAAAGGTGGAATTCGGTTTTGCACTGCCATTTATACATTCTAGAGTAGAGCGATCGTAGCTTTGTGTGTCTAGTCATCGTTAGTTAGCAATTTTCAACATTAATTAATGTTTCGTACTACTCAAAACTAAACTTTACACCTAGGTTCAGCGACAAATGTAATGTATAGAAAAAATGTAAGTGTTAGTTTCTATTTCCAGAATATACAACTTCGGTAATCCTTCCATAGGGTCTGAATTACTGTAATTATTTGCCATAAAAATTACTATTATAAGTTTCAAAGTCAAACTTTGACATTATTATTACTACACACACCGGCACATGTAGGGGAACACTAGATATTAACAAAGTTGTTGCTTTATGTGTAATTCTTATTTATTTAAATATAAGCGTTAATATTTCATGTAAACTTGTTTTTGTTCTGCTAAATGTGCCGTCTGTGTATTTGTTATAAACGTAACGTCAAAGACAGTCAATACGAAACCCGCTATAAACTATTTACATCACTTATAAAACAAGAGTGGTTCTGATTTTACATATCCTGCCACTTATTAATTCTTGAATCCGAAACTTTATATGCACAAGAAACAACAAATTTGAACGTTGTGTAAATAACAATTTTTTGATGTATAACTGTGTCCACCATACCATTCAAGCGCTCCAAAACTTAATTTTGGTGCGAATTGAAAGTAAAGAGCAAGAAGTATAAAATAACTATTTTTTCTGTAACTTACGTAAAATTCCTTGCAAAATGAAACAACATTAATTAAGGTCGATTTCTCCCCTTTAGCACAAAATATTCGAAACTTGCAATTTTGACTGGGAAATGTAATTAGAATTACACAATTCAGAATTTCATAATCTATGTTGTAACGCAAATAGTCATTTTCGTCAAAATTATTAGTTACGTTACTGTTGAACGTAAAGAAATTTCATCAGTTTCAATTATAGTGTATTGCGCATGCAAAATGCAATTCATTCGTAGAGTCGATAGCAATGAATTAACGTCGCAAAAAGTACGAGATTTGTTTTATCAAAAGCAACACGACTGCTTTTTTTTTTAATTTCCAAATGTTATACAATCTGCCTTTATGGACGGCACGTAAAAAATTAAAAAATGACCCACCTGGACTTACGGAGTATGACAATTTCTTCAAGAAGTTGGTCAATCTGACACTCAATACTATAAACGGGAACCCTACTAACTGCACCGGCAATTCAAAGCTAGTTTGCTCACTGTCCACATCTTTACAATTCACTAGTAACAACAATACAACGACAAACGTATACATACATTTAATCCACTCCATTCTTAATAGAGAAGCCACAAAGTCAAGACGCAACTAACAGCCCAAGGCAAAAGACTTGCATCAAATAGTCAAAACTGACGCAACAGTTCAAGATGCCTATTGTTAAACGATTCCCCGCGCGTAATCGCGAATGAGTCAAATTATGTAACTGTTAGTTACCGAACGAACCTTGACCTGATTAATATTTTTTTTAAACTTTACCAAAGAATGTCACTGCTACTATGATAAGATCGAGTTTTGAATTTAATTTTTTTTCGAATTTCATATGTGCCTTCTATTCTTCGAATCAGTCAATAAAGCGAACCGAACTAACTGGTCGAGTAGCAAAGATCATACTGGAAAAACGTATACGTGACAGGGATCGTAACACCTCCCCAGCTGCTTTGTTGGTCAATCGGCGGTTATGTCATGGCTCTCGTACAGTATGAAGGCGCAAGTCTACTCCACTAATCTAGAGAATTCTTTTATGCTCTCTCTGATGCATTATTGTACATACATTTAGACGGTATCTCGTGTAATTCGCATTTGAAACGAACGAGATAATATTCGAAAGAGAATAGTTAAAAGCTGTAATGGTTGTTGAGGGAAAATTAATATATTTTGTGTAATAATTCTTTTCTGCTTTCCATTTGTCTTCGAGTAAATGGTATATTATAGAAGACCGTAGAGCAAAGACTACACTAGTTTCGTAATAGCAACGAAATGTTGTGACATTCTTGAAAGGTTGCTAATAAGTATTTATCTTTCGTAACTTACACAGTCAAAGATCGCGACATCGCCTTCACTTTAAAAAATGTAAAAAATTAAAAGTATTACTATTATATTTCAAGTTTCTATATTGTCCTAAATCCCTTATTCATAAATAGCAAGTTAACAAATTATCCGTTACAATAACTGGTATTTAATTTTAAAGCCGTGGTAGCCTATGACGTACCGCCTCGTACCTTTGAGTTTCTTAAAATTCATGTGCGAGCACCTTAGAATTTATGTGCGAAATTTCATTTGAAATTTAATATGAGCTTTACGGTGAAGAAAGACATTGTGAAAACGTGTGAAATTCCCGATCCGCACTGAGCCAACGTGGTGGACCTTCAGGTCCTTCAGGCTATGAAGATCCGTACCCTAAGTCCCGTGCCGAGTATTGGGAAGTATAAATGCGTTGTTGATCACGAATGATCAATGTTTGTAAAAACATTTTTTATTCAATGTAATTCGCATTAACACGTACTAAACATTTGATCAATATGAGACTTGTAAAGGATCCGAAACGTTCGTTCGTTTCAAAACAAAAGCGATTTAGACCGGAAACCACGAAAGCTTGACTCAATGTAACTATTTTTTACTATGAATACCTATTTCTGCCGCCAAGCAGTAATGTCAGCATTACTGTATTCCAGTTTTGAAGGGTAAGGGTGCTGGTGAAATGACAGGCACAAGAGACTTGTCAACTTATGTCTCAGGGTGACGGGCACAGTGGTAGTGCCCCTCAGATCTTTGTGATTAAAAGCTCTGTGTGGCACTGTAACTGTTGTGGACAGGCGTGTGTAGCTCAGGCGCACGACTTGTTCGTTCCGTCACTTGATATTATTTAAAAAAAGAAGACACAGGTAGTGTCTTTAATAGGCCAATTACACTTACATTATTTATACAAATTAGACGTTCATAGTAAGCCCACGGCCAAATTCTGTTTTCAAAGATATAGGATCCTCTAGTTTAGAAGGCAGGATAATATTTTTGATTGTATAACTTCGACTTATAACAAATATTGCAACCAATTTATTAGTTGTGATTTTAAGTAAGTAAAAATTATTATTAATTTACAAGTACAAATGACAAAAGCCTATCAATGAAAGCTGATTAATTTAGTAGGTAGTGGGTGACATTCAAAATTGTAGCTTATTATAGCCTATGTACATCCCACAACTGGCCTACTCTCCCTTGTGAAAGTAAAGGTTATTTGTTAATGAGAACATGTGCCCCTAGACGGCAGTCCTACAACGCTGGAGCTTGCTACAAAGAAAGCGTTATACAACTTCAAAGTGAAGTAAAATTGAATCATAAATCCAACAAAAGCCTATGTTTGATATTGTTACATAAGTTCATAATAGTTCATAGTGAGTGTGATATTATATTTATTTGACGGCATCCACCGTAATGTATCCTCGGACCGTAATTCCAAACACGTTAGTCATTAAAGCAATAAAAAAGTTCAAAGTTTAAATACGTATTTTTTTAATCCAACGGGCCTTTATAGGTTCCATGGACACTCTGACACATACAAGGCCCGAAATGTTGGTTTGTTTGAAAAATCAAATATAGCTTACGATCCGAAAAAATTGTCTCATCCCGAAAACCTAAAAACTCAATAAAATAAAAGCTATAATTATATGGAATGCCGCAATGAAGTTAAAATCTACCTATTCCACAAATAGGTATAGAATAAGTGTAAAATTTTGAAATTGATATCGATTTGATTCAATTTTTGTAACAGTAGAGGTCCTTGTGAAAGAGTTCGTCCAGGAAAGTACTTACCTATTTCTGCCACCAAGGTTCCGGTTTTGAAGGGTATTGAAATTACAGACATATGAGATTTGTCAACTTATGTGTCAGGGCGACGGGTGCGGTGACAGTGCCACTCAGCTCTTTGCGACTTTTAAAGCTCTGAGTGGCACTGCAACTAATAAGGTTAGGCTTGTCGCTTACCACCAGACACAACGTTTGTTCGTGTCGTCACTTGGTTTCATAAAAAAATAAAAAACAATTACTGTAACGCCTTAGGGTTATTTATAATTACCTGGATTCAAAGCGTATGATAACTTTTTCACGAAGTTTGTAAGCCTCACAGCCATAATGATGAAAGGAAACCCAAATAACTGTATCGGCAGTTCGAACCCTGTCTCCTGTCCAGTACTCTCCATTAGACATTGGAATAAAAGGAACGTCACTAAAGTCCAAATGTAGCACACTTTAATTAGTTCCATTTTTAAAATATACAACTGACGATGACGTCCAAAATTTTTAAATTTCAACGACTTTTTATTGAATTTCGAATTACTATTCTCATTTCAAAATTATTGCAAGTGAAATATTTAATTAAAAAAAGAAGTAATCGAGACCTAATTTCACTCCAAATTAACACACTCTATGCATAATTGTATTGTATAACACAACGACTTTAGTTGTAGATCCACGTATAACTGGCCATACCCAGTAGACCGCAATCCACGTACTTAGGGTAGTTTCGTAATCTAAATACAATCATTTGAGTCACAGCCCATTACTAAACTTGATTCTAATTATGACCGGTCGTGACATATTTATAATTTTTAAACGAAATAATAAAGCCCAATACAAAACGTGTAACACGTTTAGCTGAATGTATAACTGGGGCCTTACCATGACCTCTTATTACAGTTCAATATAGGTTCGTAACGAGAAAAAAGCGGGATGGTGATATACATTTCATGTAGCGCCGTCTCTCAACGATTCATTTTAGGTCCTAAACTGAATCGTAATAGGAGTTCATGGTAAGGCCCCAGATGAATATTTTTTTATATTATATATTAAATAAGTAAATAAAAAAAATTTGCTTTCTCTTTGTAAAATATAAAAATATCTTAATTTTTTATTGAATTGATATTCAATTATTTTTTGTGAAATTACTCCGCTAGTTTGTTATAATTATTAATACAAAGATCGAACATTCAGAAAATATTCTTTCCGGTCTGGCCGGATCGAAGGAATTTTTTCTGAGTGTTCTGAAGTTTCTGAATCTTTGTATTAATAATTATAAACATATCATTTATGGACCAGTTTTATAAATGAGGCTTTTATATTTTTTACTTAATTAATTATTGGTCAATAAAAATAGCAGTAGAGTTTTTTGTGAAAGAGTTCGTCCAAGTTCGTACTGCCACCTTACCTATTTCTGCCGCCAAGCAGTAATGTGAGAATTACAGTGTTTCGGTTTTGAAGGTTTAGGGGTAGTGATAAAATTACAAGAACGTGAGATTTATCAACTTATGCCTCAGCTTGACGGACGCAGTGGTAGTACCCCTCATAACTTTGTGATCTAGGCTCTGCGTGGTGGACAGGCATGTCGCCTATCGCGTGCGACTTATTCGTCCAGTCACATGGTATAATAAAAAAAACAAATAACCAAGTAGATAGTGCCGTGTGGTGTGATTTTGTAGCCAGGAACTGATGTGGATTTAAAAGTCTATGGTTTCGATATATAAATAACGCAATGGAAAGTGTGAGCAAGGTTGCACACGCAGTTCCTGCGTCTACACACGTGATTATGTAAATCACGTTGCCAAGCAACTTTGTACTAACCGAGTAGAAAATAAGAGTCTAAGAATCCTTATCTCCCTAAACGTATAGAGCAACTGTAAACCAATAAACTGCAATATCAAAAATTGCATTATGAGAATAAGCCGCAAAAATAAATCTTGTTTTTTTTTTGTAATTTTTGAGAACAGTATCGTAAAAGATACATTAAATTTTGTACATTAGATATTAAAGAAATCTCTCGGTCTCTATAATTGAAGCTATCAGCGTAAAAGTGGTGTAAACCGCATTTGTTTTTTTTTTCTACAACATTACTTTAAATGATACAAAAGTACATGATTACTTTATATTGGGATGCTATTTTCATGTAAGTATATAGCAAAAAATATTTTAAATTTTATTTTATACATGAAAATAGCATCCAAATATAACGCAATTATATACTTTAGTGTCATGTATGTATTTAGCCATGTATGTACGTAATATAATGTATAATGAAATAATATTGTAGAAAGAAAATGAAACCTGATAGCTTCAATTTTACTATTCCAAATAAGCCATTTCTATTAAAAAACGAAAAAACATATTTTCCCTTGATAACAGTCGAAAGATTCTTGTTGTAATGAAATTACGAAACACTGTTCTACACTGGAATACAAGTCCTAAGACTTGCAGTGTTCACAAGATATAAATGATGGGTGCAATCGTCTCTGGAAAGATATGGAATCAAAAATTTATTTATTTAAGTTATGTAGTAAAGTTATTGTTTAAAAATCTCAATACTGAGTACTAAAGAACCGACCTCAAAAGTCATTT